ATGAAGAATATAATCCGAAGCATTGCAATTATTCCACACAGACTGGCTGCTACGATAACACTTTGAAGACTTTATCTTCATGCAATGGTGTAGGATTTTTTACCACACCAGTTTGCAAGTACCCTCATGTTTCTTTACTTTTTTCCAATTCAATCCTACTACTTTTCCATTTGTAATGTTTTTTATTTACTTGTTTCAAAATAGTTTTTATAGAGCATTATTTCTTTTAAAAAGTATCTTCATTCAGTTCTACATGATCAGAATGAGGTATTTGATGCCTCTTTCTCAGCTTTAACCCACTGCATTTTAATTACTTTTACTTCATCGGTGACATCTTTAAGAGCATGCTTTGTACATTGCAGTTAATTCCTTCACAGTTTCATTTACAAGTGCAACAGAAGTGAAAGGATCTGTTCTGTACATTCTTTTACTTGCAAATGAACTGTGTTCATTTGAATATCTTCTTGACCATACTTTAAAATTCAATTTGGTGGTTGATTAGGTGTAGCGATCCTTTCAATAAAATGATAAGCATTATCTGGACGTAGATGCAACAGAAGTGAAAACTCAAAAAATGTTTGTTGATCTCCAAGGGTATTTTAAAACATCAAAAAGGCTGCAGCTAAAAACAATTGAGACATCTCAGTGATCTCTCTAACCATTAAATTTAGGATGATATTTTGCCTTTTATGCTAGTGATTTCCGGATATTTTCAAATTGTGCTGGCATAATTTTTGTATTCTTCTACCTAGTTATTATGCTCATTTTTATGCCAGAATAATCTGCACCTCCCTAATTTGAAGTGAAATCAACAGTGCCTGATCTGCATTCTAGTAACACCCTTGAAAAAAGGCGCTCTACGGTAGATAGCACGATGGTGAAATCAATTATAGCATAGATTATAGGAATGACCTGGGAACAAAGCCCCCAGGTCCTGAAAATCAAAATAAGTTATAAAAATACAAACATTTACTAAAATAATACATGAAGTATGTGTGTGCATATTACAATACAGTTCCATTGGTAAAAGTAGCTTGGGCTTCTCCTTTCCATTTTCCAGAGAAAGATTTAAGGGTCTTTTAGTTTAGGCTTCACTGATTCAATATCAGTTTCTGATAAAAATTTAGTACCATTTGAATGTGATACATCTGACTCTAAATATATTGGCTCTGCTTTAGTGGCTATATTAGTAGTAGCAGCAGCAGTAGTAGTAGTAGTAGCAGTAGCAGTAGCAGCAGTAGTAGTAGTAGTAGCAGCAGCAGCAGTAGTAGTAGTAGTAGTAGTAGCAGCAGCAGCAGTAGTAGTAGTAGCAGCAGCAGCAGTAGTAGTAGCAGTAGTAGCAGCAGCAGTAGTAGTAGTAGCAGCAGTAGTAGTAGTAGTAGCAGCAGCAGTAGTAGTAGTAGCAGTAGTAGTAGTAGCAGCAACAGTAGTACTAATAGTAGCAGCAGTAGTAGTACTAGTAGTAGCAGCAGCAGCAGCAGTAGTAGTAGTAGTAGCAGCAGCAATAGCAGCAGCAGTAATGATTTCAGGTTCCTGAAAGAAAAACAATAAAATATCATTCCCTTAGTTCCATAAACATAATGAAGCACCATGGTCCGTGGACTCGCCTGCTGAGATTCACCCGAGAGATAATGTGTTACTTGTACTGCTCCCATCATTATATTATGTATATAAGCAACTTGATATTTGAAAAAAGGATAATAGATTTTGACAAAGTGCAACAATGCAATTAGCCAATTACTGCACTGATCCATAAAATAAATTATAGGTGTGGTCAGCACCTAGCAGTGCAGTGCAGATAAACATGGCACGTGGGTAGGAGAAAGAAGAAAAGCTGAAATTTATTTTAGCATCTGAAGCTCTATTCAAAGAAAGAGTAAGCACAAAAAATTGCCTAGATATTTAAAAGAGACTGAGATAGTTTGGTTGCTCTTGATTTCCCCAGTGCTGCCTGAAAATTTTTCGAAGAGGCTAAATCACAAACTTTGAGCAACTGTAACTCGCAAACAAAAAAGAGATTAACATATTTTTTAATCTAGGTACTTTTCTCTACCTATCGATGCTAATCTTGACCAAATAGAGTGAAACACGAAGATTTGGCTAGGAAAAGTGGTCTATTCTTGAAAAATTCAGCTTTTGCTACCACGGATTGCTATGAAAATACAACGGAGCAAAATAAATTATCTTTTTCTCAAAGCTTAAAAAGAATTATAACTCAGGAGAGCTCAGTAAAAAAGATATTGACTAGGAATTAACAGGAATTTTCGTGACAGAATGACAGACAGACAGACAGACAGACAGAATGACAACCCAACTACTTAGTACCCGCCTACGCAAGCGTGGCGAGTCCAATTAAACACACTTCTGATCATTACCTGAAGAATTACTGTGTATCTAGTGATTTATGCTTTAGAAAATTGAGTGTGATTTAATTTTATGTAATAAGTAAATGTTATAACACCCCCGCTAGGGATACCGTATACTGGAATATTTTCGTGTCGCTAAATTTTCGCGAATTTTGCATTTGTAAGATTTCACGAAATAATATTTTCACAAATAGCTTGTAAACTCCACCACGTGGCAATGTAAATTCAGAATTTCATGATTTTAATTTTTGCGACGGAGCAAGAAAACGCAAAATCCGCGAAAATTTGGCTACTCGAAAAGTTCCCAGTATACGGTACATTGCATTTGTATGACCGAGCCTGAGGGCCGCATATACCTGTACAATAATGTTGGTTCTTATATTTTATTTTAAGAGATTTTTGCTGTCAACCCACAGGGATACAAATAAAACCACAGGAGTGTTACAAATGAAAGCTGTGTTACATCACATTTGTAACCACAGGCGGTGCCTTTGATACGCCCACTCACTATTATACAAGACTGTGTCATTGAATGTGGCATGCAATTGTATGCATGATCTAATTTTAAATTTTTTTAGATAGAGAGTAATATCTATTGATGTATGAGGAGAAGACTATTATTAATACTATTATTAAAATTTAATATACATAATTGTTAATTAGCTTACTTCGTCATGATTGTTAACCAGGGTCACAACAGGAAATTCTTCTAATAATAATTATAATATTTGATTCAAAATTAGATACTAACTTTTTTTGTGCTTTCTAATTAAAAGTAGTATAGCGCATAATGATAATAAAACAGCCATCAGAAGCAGTACAAAAAAACTAGTAGTAGCAGCAATTATAATGAGAACTACATAATAAATGAAATACTCAATGAATAAATGTAAGCTGTATTTAATAAATACTGCATAGCAAAAATTTTAATGGCCCAAATTTTTGTCAGTTAAAAATTTAATCAAATAAAAATTCTTGAAAAATCTAAAAAAATTTTTGATTGACAAAAATTTAGAGCTATATGGTATTCGACCAAATGGAACCGTATTTAATCAATTTTTGTAAAGCACAAAATTTGCAACTGAAAATTTTGGGCCATAAAAAATTTTTCCTATACAGTATTATACAGTAGCCTGTTCCAGACATGTTACCAGGTGGTGAAGTTGCAGTAACAGTAGGTGAGGAAGTTGATGTGCCACTAGCCATTGATGAAAATGTAGTGACAGTAGGTGATGAAGTTGATGTGCCGCCACTAGGTGATGAAGTTGTAGTGGCAGTAGATGGCAATGAGCTGGTTGCTACAGGATGATCTTAATAATAATTTCAATAAAATACATGGTGGTACAAAGCATATAATTACTTACCGAGTGGTAACATAAATGCTGCACTACTACCATCCTCATTACTAAACACAATACTAATATCACATTGTTGATTTAACGGAACAGGTACTGATTCTATTACATCTAGAGAATTTTCCACTGGTATCAGATCAGCATAAACAACAGTTTTGTTACAATGTATAATAACTGTAACATTCTCAACAACTTCATCAGTACAAGGCAATGTGACCTATAATATAACATACTACACAGCTAGAAACAATGGTAAAGAATTATATATATTGAACATGGATGGCAGTGTGTTAATCGATCGCCAATATAAATCATTTTATCCTGAGCATGCATGCTCAATTAAATTTCGTTGTTCAAAACTCATTAAAAATTAATATAACCCCTATCAATATTTCCAGCTGTATGGCAGTCATAATTACTATTTTCTTACTGATATATTCAAGTGTAAAATAGCAATCCCACTAGTTGCATTGTAACCACTAAAAAACATTTGAACATTAGGGCCTATAAAAAAGGTAAAATCAGTTATGCTACAAGTGAATACCTTTTTTATAGAAACTGATATCATTAGATGAACCTATTCCAACATCATTAATAGGAGAAACTGATACATTATTTAATATACAAGGATCAGGATTAGTAGCCAATAATGTTATATTAGTATTATTATTAATAGTAGTAATGTCCACTAATCCATTGACTATATAGTATCCAGTGATAGGTACATTATCCAGTGAATAAGGAGCTATCCATGTCAATAAAGTACTGGATTCATTAATAAAGGTATAATTAAGATTACTGACACTATCCAATAGACCTAAAGGAAAAACAATGATGCATTATGAGTATAAATTATTGAGTGAGCCCCACTACGCCTAAGGCAAAAACAGACTGTACAGTCAGACATTTTTAGATTTTTGAACCATTTTCTCAGTTG